GTGGAGCACCGACGAGGACCTTGGTCTCACGTGTCCCCTGGGTCCTGGACACTCCGCCAGGTGTCCGTGCGCGGCCGTGGCCTACCAGCTGTTCGCCCCACCTGGCGACCACCACTTCCAGCTGGATGCCGTCACAGGCTTCCTCACCAGGAACACCAGCATGTCTCTGGAGGATGGCAAGACGTACACATACAAGATCATGGTTCAGAGTGAGGATGAGTCCCATTGTGTTGGTGGCGCTTCACCCTTGACCGGATTAAGCTCTCCTTCCAGTATTGATTCCGGATTCGCCCTCATTGTTAGAGGCTTCGTAAAAAAGGCGATATAAACTTAGTGAGAGGAGTGGCTTACGGTTTTTTTTTCTTCGCGTATTTGAAGAGATAATCCTTTGCCATATATATTTCGAATAGAATAGAAATAGGGAGAGAGGAGCGAGGCGTTCGCAGTATCTTAGATGCCACATTACTTATCGAAAGGGTTTAGGGTACATTTCATATATTCAATGGAAAAAAATATTAACACTCAGCAATAAAATAGAATGACCTTTGATCCTTACACAGAGTCTGGGCATTTTCCAACCGCAATATCCTCACTCATGGACTCTCTCTCTCTCTCTCTCTCTCTCTCTCTCTCTCTCTCTCTCTCTCTCTCTCTCTCTCTCTCTCTCTCTCTCTCTCTCTCTCTCTCTCTCTCTCTCTCTCTTTCTCTCTCTCCCAGGTATCCCCGTAGCAGGCCAGTCAAAGGACCTCCTCTTCGACCTCATGGACCTGAAGATCTACGTGAGTCCTAATTTCATCATGAAGATTCCCTGGAGTTAACTGGTTCAGGTAAGATATCGACGAGGGAAGAGGGCGTGGAAGGAGGGGCGGGGGAGGAGAGGGAGGAGGGAAAGAAGGAAGATGGGGCAAAGCAGGGAGAATAAGGGAGGGTAAAGAGAGGAAAGGGAGGAAGAGAGGGAAGGTAGAGAAGGTAAATGGGAGGAGGAAGGGAGGGGAATGAGAGTAGGAGGTGTGGGAGGAAGAGAAGAGAGGGAGAAAAGAGGGAGGTAAGGATAATGACGGAGAGAAGGAGGAAAAGAGGAAGAGGAGGGGTGCGTGGGGGGTGGAGTAGGTGTGGGCAGGCACAGCTTTACCTGAAAATAATCCCTAATTAACGTCCAAGGTTTCAGTTAATTGGTTTTTGGTCTACGTGTTGATAGGAATATCATTTCCGTTTGGATTCGGTGATTGGGTTTGCTGATTGTCTGTTGAGGAAATGATGTGTTTAATCTCGCAATACAAAGGATTGCTCGAATGATTCAGCCGCGAGACCAGCAATGCCATGGTGAAAACCAACCTGCTCTCATTTCTATTACAGGGAACGAAATTACAAGTCCGCGTGTGAGAGAGAAAGCGAGGGAAAAAGAGGCCACATTTCAACCTCCAGCGACAGTGCCCCGCCCCGAGTGCCAGCCCTTATAGGCGGGTTGGCACAGACCAAGACGGAGAGCCCACACCGAAGCCTGCATCTCACGTGTTTCACTTTTTTCGGGAGACCGAGACGCTCCCAAACCTGATAAACGCAAGAGCGGCTGGTTTTCGGACTGCAGTGAAGGGCAGAGTAATAGGTGACATTTCCACAAGCTGAAAAATATTTTCTAAGTTTCCATGAGAGCTGAACAGTGTTCGTTTTTTTTGTGCAAAGCTCTCGGTCACTGTGGATTCCAGTGTCCATTGTGTATAATGTTTTGATACGTGGAAAAGAACAAAAAAAATATACGTTTCTAGAATTATAGAGAAAATGTCATTAGTGAAATAGAATAGTAAACATATCATGAGCATTAAGTGTTGGTCTAGTCATGATTAAAATAAACCATTATGATTTCAAAAGAAGGCGAAAGCATAGAGGAGTAAGTTTACCTTTGTATCCACGTCCCCCTGGCGGCAATATCTGTTAAAGGGACATTGTCTTTCTGAAGTCAATTGTACTGAAACTGAAAGTGTGACAGATTAAATATACTAATATAGAAAGTCTCTCACTTGATTGCCTACCTTTCTATGAATACATTAGTTTACACACATAATACAGAACAATACAGTCAATCAAGATAACTTGGGATCTTAACTATAGAAACGTATCTATAGAAAACATTTGGATGGACTGATACTTATTGAAAGGCTCAGGTAAGCTTTCATCTTTTTCAGGATATTTTTTTTTGTTGTTGTTATCTGTAAAAGTTTGTTTCAGTTAAGCCACATAAAAAGCACACTGATCCACATGAACTATATTTGTAATGACTTATCTATATTTATCTTTATATCTATCTATTCTTTTTGATTACGGGTATCTAAAAAAAAAAAAAAAAAAAAAAAAAAACTTTTATTTTCTTCTTGTTCTCCTCCTCCTCTTTTCTCTTTCTCTTCTCCTCTTCTCTCTCTCTCTCTCTCTCTCTCTCTCTCTCTCTCTCTCTCTCTCTCTCTCTCTCTCTCTCTCTCTCTCTCTCTCTCTCCCTCCCTCCCTCCCTCTCTTGTGCTGACTTCAGACCTTTTCTAGACTACACTGCTGTCGTTATTATGGATATTCCATGACTGAATTTTGTATATGACATCTACTGGTCGCTGATGTATTGGGGCGTTTGACATTATACTTCCCCCAAACAAAGAAAAAACGTGGAATATAGCCAACTAATGCAAACTGTTGTTTACCGTTGGCATGCTGTGTATTTAGTTTCATTTGTTTTTGATCAGTTTATATTTGTTATAATGCAAAGGAATGACTAAAAAAAAATAGACTTCAACTAGAATGTCAATGTAGAAATGGAGAACGACACGAACATTGTATAGGAGTCAATGAATGACATATCTATCTATCTATATGTGTATCTGTCCATATATATACATATATGTATATATATATATATATATATATATATATATATATATATATATATATATATATATATATATTTATATATATGTGTATATATATACACACATAATACATCTTTATATGTATATATATACTTGTATATATATATATATATATATATATATATATATATATATATATATATATATATATATATATATATATATATATCAGAAGGAGAATCAATAGTCATTAATCATATAATCTTACTCCCCCTTGCTCTCCTCTGTCTTCCCTCCTTCCCTCCTACTCACTCTCTCTTCTTCTCTCATTCTCTTTTTCCGCCACAACGTCTTGCAGCTCAACCGCCTTGCGATGACCTTCTGTAAGTTATTAATTCCTCGCACAGAAAGGTCACTTGTTGCTCTTTTCTCGTGGACTGCCAAAGGTCACTTGGAGGACTAAGTGGTCATCAAGTGCTTCCTGTTCCCTGTTTCCTGTCTTTGTCTCTTTCCTTTTTTAATCTATCTCTTTTTCTCTCTGTCTCTCTGTTTTCTTTCTCTCATTCTCCCCCTCTCTCTCTCTTGTTTCTCTCTGACACTGTTTTGTCTCTCTCTCTCTCTTCTCTGAGTCTCTCTCTACCTCTGTTTTTCCCTGTCTTTCTCTCTGTCTTTCGGACTACCCCCTCCCCCCCTCCCTCCCTCTCTCTCTCTCTCTCTTTCATTCTCTCTCTCTCTCTCTCTCTCTCTCTCTCTCTCTCTCTATCTATCTATCTATCTATCTATCTATCTTTCTATCTCTATCTCTCTCTCTCTTTCTCTCTCTGATGACTGATATGATTCCCAGAACCGACTGTTAAAAGTCGGATTGTAGCGGTAGTAACAGCGTCGCTTTTCTTTTAAGCTAACTAAGGCTGATGGGGAAACGGAAGCTCAAGACAAAGCTAAAATAAAAAATATATAATCAAATCGAGAGTAAAACCAAAGCCAAATACGTAAGATTAAAATTAATCGATTTGGAAGGATGAGGGTTATGCTAGAGCAAAACTACAATAAAAGCCAACAAGACAATAGAGTTGGCATTAAAAAGATAAAGGCTTAAAAAAGAATGAAAAAATCACAGCTCGGGCTTCCTACTTCCCTGTGGGTGTGGCAGTTTACATGAACAAAGAAAATATCACTACAATGCATTTAATTATACAAGATGCCTTTAATTACCTTATGGCCTCCAGTCTCACAGAGTACAAAATAGTTAAGAAACGCAAATAAAAAATGAATACAGAAAGGTTCCTTCTTATCTTCCTCTGTTCGTACCTGCACCTAGTACGGAGGGGATTCAAGTTTTCTGCCTATGACAGCGCGTTATCCCCCTGGCAGAATTGAAGTGAATAACATTTGATATTTGTATGGATTTATTTCGATCCAGTGTGGCAGCTCACCGTCAGCCTAAGGCAATTGGCAATAAATATCAGAATACGAGAGAAGACAAGTAAGTGTATCTCTCTATTTCTGCCATCCTAGTATCACGATAATTCCTTGTGAATAATTGGGAACTGCATCTTCATGGCTTCACAAAAGATGGAACGACAGTATCTGTACGAGCTTCCAATTAGTCCTATAGAGTTACACCTAAAGAAAGAAAGGAAGATACGAGCGCAATTTTCCAATATTTATTCGCAAAGATTTTAATATCAGAGAAGCCCTTTCGATCGACGATTAACAAGAAGGTTTTGGACATGAGGCATAATTTGATTCTGCGGAAAGTTTTTTTTTAGTTATAATAATAGTAATAACAATCTGCCTAAGTAAATGACACCAATATACCGAGTAAAAGTAAAAAAAAAAAAAAAAAAAAAAAAAAAAAAAAAAAAAAAAAAAAAAACGAAAACAAGAGAGAGTCTAAGAAGGCCTAATAAGGCTCTTGGAGTGGCTTGGGTTTCCCGCTGATGAGAAACTAATGGCAGCTTTGCTATTAGAAAATGAACTATAATAAAAAAATAAACATCTATCACATTGTGTCCCTAACCACGATCAATAATAAATATGTAAAAGAGGCAAAGGCAATTTGCTAACTCAGCTGAATATTGATGGTGTGGCTAACTTTACACTCTTGCTTCTACTAATAATAAAACATTAATAAACATTGAAAAAGAA